CTGGTATAAAAATACATAAAATCACTTTTAAGTGTAGTTATTGCAGCTCCCTTTGCTTGGGCTGGCAGCAGCTTTGTCACTGTAACTTTTGAATCAGTTTGTCCACCTTTTTTACTTTATTTTATTTCATTTATTTTATTTTATTTCATTTCATTTCTTAACTAATTAGTGTTTGAACAGGTATTCTAAAGGCAATTTTTGCTGCAAAACAATTGTTTTGCATAAAGGGATGTAGTTTTAAATATTTTGTCATCTTGAAACGATGCTCCCACCCTCAGGTTTTACTTAGTTTCTGAGTGTTGTAAAGTGTTTGTATTTGAATGCTTTGAACAATTAATATTTACTTTCAGTTAGTTTTAATTAAATACATCACCTTAGTTCCCTGCTTTCAAAGGCAGCTGCAAAATAATAAATAACAACTGTAAAATGCTTCCCTGTGTGYCATGTTGATTATTATTCTTCTGAAAGTTTTCATATTTTTGATCTTTTTTTGTTAAGAATTGTGACTTAAAGTGAGAAGGTCTCCTTAGGTGTGGTGCTGCCAAGTATAAGTTTTTGTTTGTTTTTTATGTTTGTTTGTTTGTTAAAAAAACCCAAAGAAACAAGCCAGCTTTTAGGCCTCTTTAGATTTTTTATGTATTCTACTCACAGTGATACCAAAAATACCACTGAGCAGCAGTGGTGAGGAACAAACCCAAATCAAAAACTACTTAGGTTTTAATCAGAAAGAAAAATCTCCCTGTTTAGATTCAACACCCCATTTTTTGCAGGGGGAAAAAAAGGGGAAAGAGTGAAATAAACCTTGTGTATGTGTTGTGGAAAAGGACAGGCCCATCTGGGGAGGATGTGAGAGTTTATTTGAAGATAAAATATCTGAGTCTATGAAGATAAAATATCTGTAGCCCGAGCTGGTCTCAACAGCATGGCTTGGGGCTTGTTTTTAGGGTGGTTTGAATGCATGTTTAAACTTTGTTATGGTTTAAATTCACTATTCTTCTCTCAGGAAGAGAGATAGAGGTTTCTGTGCCAGAGCAAAAGTCTTCTAAATAACTTTATTCATACCTGGAGATACATTTTTCAATTTGTAACCATATAATTTTACTGCTTTTTCTGTACTAGAGTAATCCCCCATGTGAATATTCTTATTTTAAAACAAAGAGTATAAGCAGAGATTTATATTGGTAGGAATATATGTATGGCTGAATAAARTACATAAATGTCCATGTGTAAATGTGTTTATAAAATAATAACAGTGAAATAAAACCACAGCTATAGGATCACAGAAGAAAAAACTTTCAACTGTGGTGAAGCCTCACACTGTTAAAACCCAGAGATCTTATTAGACTACAAACCTTGAGAAATAGGATCTTGCTCTTTTTTTTTTTTCCTTGAGGAAACTATTCTGCATTTAATGGGCTTTATGAACTCCCACTGAGATTAGTGGGAAATCATGCACTTGATCTGTAATATTCTGGATTTTTTTGGTTTCATGTAAGCTGTGTGATATTTAGGAGGGAAGGGAAAAAGAGTTGGCCAAGCATCTCACTGATTTTTACATTGTTCAAAGTTACTTGTGTAGAAATCACAGAACTTCTAAACTTAAAATTTACATGTWACATGAAAATAACTTTTTAAAGAAGCTGTGCTTGGATCCTAATGGGAGKGTGGAGCATTGTGAAAGTGTCCATACAGTGCTGATGACAGGCTCAGGAACTGCAGTTTGTAATTAAAATTCAAATTTAGGCCCCTTGCATTGTGTTTATACAGTGCAGTCATAATGTGCTGAGCACTCTTGAAAAATTGATTAAATTTCTGACCTTTCTTTTTGTCATTGTAAAAAAAGGAATAATACCGACCTACCTTTAAAAAAAAAGGTCTGGCTCCCTGGAAGGCTATTGCTGTAAAAATGACAATATTGTTATTATTATTATTATTAATAATAATAATAGTAATAATAATATAGGACAGTTATAAATTTTTTTTTGTCACCATTGCCCTGTTATTGCCTGTCCTGATGGATGAAGATGGGTAWATGCTGCAATCAGGATGTTGTCCTGTCACTGGAAACCTGCTAATTAATTTTTTAAAATATCAGGGCAGTGGGGATATTGCTGTGGAAGAAGCAGATTTTTGGTTTTATTTATTGCTTGAAGAGTGAGAATGCAATCTGTCCTGTGAAACAACTTCTAGGGCAGAAATCTTCAGAGTTAATATCTGAGTAGATTTCCAGGCTCCCACTCTGCAAATCCCATTGGAGAATTTTTGGCTCAGTTTTTGGTTTTCTCCTGGTGTCAGGATGAGGCTGGTGTTCCCTGTGACACAAGGCTATTCCAAAGCTTGATTTTTTTATCTTTAAGACAAAAAAAAAAACCAAAAAGGAAACCTCTGTAAACAAAGTGAGTTTAG